CTTGGTTCGTACTGATGTTTGGCACAGAGGGTGACATTCCAGATTTGTAAATTTGCCGAGGGTCTGGAAGGCACCTCCGGTGGTGGAGGGCATGTCTTATTTCCTTTCCGTGACGCAACCGTTCCACAAAAAGATGCAAACGTGCAAACGCGTAGTCAACTGAAGAATTCCCGCTCCTCCCCAGTTTAACTCCGGGATCGTGGATCTGCCCTCCCCGCTCTCCCGAAGCTATTCGGGCCGTGTCCGGAACGCCCCGGAGGGGGCTAGAATCCGGCATCCGCCTCTTCGCCCCCAATACCGCCCGACCTGACGCAAGCGTGCTGACCCGGGAGGGGAAGAAGGAAAGCTTTCCCCGCACACAGCTCGCGGTCCCTGCACCGGGGCGGAGATGCTCGGCCAGGGTCCGGTGTCCGCCTGGACGGACTGCAGCCCTTCCGCAGAGCCTCCGGCAGTGGCCAGGACCGAGGGTGGCGGAGGCGGGTGAGGCTGCGGGGCCCTGGGGGGTTAGGGAGGACGGGGACCGGCCCGGTGATGATCCCTCTTGTGGTGAGGGGGTTGGGAGCTGGCTGCTCCAATCGACTGGCCCCCCAAAGCACTTAAGAGAGAGGCGGGGAGAACCTTTGTTGTGGCCGGGATGGGAAACATGGAAGCCGACGCGCTGTTCAAAGGAAGGGTTTCAGAGGAGGGTTTGGGGCAATGACAGCGCGGTGACTGCGACAGTCACCTGCGTGCATCTTTCTGCCCCGAGGGGGCGCTGGGGAACCGGCTGGAAAAGCGGCCTGGCCACCGGACTCTACCTAAACCTGGGTGGGGGAGAGGGGAGACTGCGGGGACAAGCGTCCTTGTTCAATCGAGGGCTCCCGAGTCAATAAATCAGTTCCCCGTGTGTGACATTAGCCACTGTTATGTCAAGTGGGGATTCATATCATCCATGAAACAGATGACTATGAATATTAGAAGTACTTGACGTTTTCTTCACACAGAAGTTAGTTTCTTCATAAACCTATTTTATTTTTGGCAAGTTTTTACTCTTATTTCCTGATGCTGAAGACAGTTGCTGAAGTCACTAACCTCCTCATCCCTTTCATCAGTTATTCCCTAAAACAGAGCGGCTGGCTGTTTGCCAAAGCAGCTCACAGCCATGGCTTCTGCTGCAGCCATGGCCTTTTTTTTTTCTTTTTTTAAATATATGGTGGATTGAAGAATTCTTAAAGATGAGATGGGGCCCTGACTGGTTTGGCTCAGCGGATAGAGCGTCAGCCTGCGGACTCAGGGGTCCCAGGTTCGATTCTGGCCAAGGGCACATACCTTGGTTGCGGGCACATCCCCAGTGGGGATTGTGCAGGAGGCAGCTGATGGATGTTTCTAGCTCTCTGTCCCTCTCCCTTCCTCTCTGTGGGAAAATCAATAAAATATATTTTAAAAAAAAGAAAAGATGAGATGGGTTCTTGTGTTTCTTTTCTGTTCCTCTCAGTGCTTAGTGAAGTACTGGATCCTAGTATATCAGGAGATGAATGAACTCGTGTTCATTGAATAAGTTGGAAGAAGGAAGGAAGAAGGAAGGAAGGGTGTTTTGTCTCAATTTGAGGGGAAAAAAAGAACCTATACAAAATTAGATACATTCCAAATCCAGGATTCTAGAACACCTTAATTACATACAATAAAAAAAAAAACAAGATAGTCTTTTCCATAGCCAAATTACTTTATTAAAAATAAAGAGAACAAGAAAATAATATGTTTAGGACTAGAAGCCCAAACTACTTTATTAAACTCAATGTAGGAATTAGATTAGGAGGCTATAAAACTAGGCCAAACTTGCCTTAAAGTAAGTCCTGTCTAATAATATGGTAAAGAAAATATCAGAAAACTCACTTTAAATAAGTCTGGAGCCATTCAGATATAACCAAAATGACAGAAGAAAATTTGCAAGACATTCTGTCTGATGGAAGCATGGAAAGTATAAAGCATATGCAATACTGTCCTTTTATCATTTAAAATACCTTCTTTAATGTTTATAAAGCTGTCAGTTATTTGTTGTTACTACCTACTAATTACATCCTTTTTTTTTTAAAAAAACAGATCAGCTGGACATTCTTATTACCAGAATTCCAAAGGTACTGGTGAGTAGAGCACATAAATCAGATAATACCTATAAATAACATGGTTCAGAGAAGTCAGTTTTGCTATAACTCTCACACAAAGGAGGTTTAAAAATAGATTTTATTAGCCTCCTTGGTGATCTTAGTCTTTAAGATTTTTGAGAGAACAATCAGCAGGTACTTTGTCTCCCATGAAGATATCTTACATCATCATTTTAAAAATAATCTTTCAAAATAGCAATGAATTTGAAAACTGTGTTTATAGCTGATGTTGGTTGAGAAGAAGAGAGCACAGATTGAAGGAAAAATTTTAAACTGAACAAACTCAAAGAACAAAATATTTCTTAACGCTGCTGTTTTCCTCTCCCTTGGAGTGAAGGATAGAGCTACAAAGGTGTCTCACTAATTTTGGGGAGGGAGCAATTTCAATTCAATGATATATAAACCTGGATTCACTTTGCTCTTCCTTGGAAATTTTATAGTCCTAACAGTTACCTAGGAAAAACATACATACCTGCAAGTATATAGATATAAAAATGCACAGACATACATATAAATGTATATACATAATGTGGTTTTCAAGTGGAATTGCTGATTCATATGGCCATGCTATGTTTAATATTTTGAAGAACCGCCACATTGTTTCTATAGCAGCTGCACATTTTACATTCCCACCAGCAATGCACATGGTTCCAATTTATCCACATCCTAGCTAACACTTACTTTTGTTTGGATTTTTTTTTTTTTATGATAGGCATCCTTATGGGTATCTCACTATGGTTTTGATTTTGACTTCCCTAATGATTAGTGATAGTGAGCATTTTTTCATGTACTAATTGACAACTTGTGTGTCTTCTTTGGAGACATCCAAAATCTATCCAAGTCCTTTGCACATATTTCAGTTAGGTTGTTTGTTGTTGAGTTTAACTATTATTTTTATAACTATTATTTTTAAATGTTTGATTTTCTGTAACAAAATGCTACCAAGCTTTTGAGCAACTAAATTTTAGACCAGGCTATGGTATGCATCTTAGAAATATTTATTAGCAGGGACACAAAAGATATACTCTTAGAGAATTAGCCCATACTTATGACTTGAGAAAGGATTTAAAATAATAAACTTGAGCCCTAGCTGGTTTGGCTCAGTGGATAGAGCGTCGGCCTGCAGACCAAAGGGTCCCAGACTTGATTTTGGTCAAGGGCACATGCCTGGGGTTGCAGGTTTGATCCCCAGTAGAGGGCATGCAGGAGGCAGCCAATCAATGATTCTCATCATTGATGTTTCTCTCTCTCTCTCCCTCTCCCTTCCTTTCTGAAATCAATAAAAATATGTTAAAATAATAACAATAATATACTTGAAATGTTGAATTAGTATTTTATTATTACAGTTTCCAAATGATGATTTAAGGGTCATAATAACAATTTCCAGATGATTTTCTATCTGTTGGTAAACTAGTTAGTCTTTCAGTATGCCATATCTGGTTTGCCCGAATCTTAAAAAAATAACTAAATTTAAAGTTTAATATATAAAATTATAGTGGCCTTTGTTATCAATAACATTAAAACAAAACTGTGCTTATTTAATTCACTTTACTAAGTAAAAACTTTTAACTTAAAATCTGTTCTGCCAGCTAAATTTGTAATAGTCCAAAACTGGAAACAATCCAAGTGTCCATCAACAGGTTTCTCTCTCACATCCATGTTTCTCTTTCTCTCTCTCTTCCTTTGCCTAAAAGCAATTAAAAAATTTTTAACAGCCCATGCTACTTCTCCAGAATAATCACTGACACATGTAAATACATAGACCTTAATAATTAATTTGTTGAACTGGTCTTTCTCATGAAATTCACATAATAATGTCCTTGCCTACAGATGGAATCAAAGATGGACACAAAATGAACTTACACATAGCCAAGCTACAAGAGTTATGGAAAACTCCTCAAATTCAAACAATTCACATCACTAAATCAATGACAGATGTGTCCTTTCTAAAGGTATGCTAACTACCTACCAATACTTTATTTAAATACCAATAATCTTTGTATTCAGAGCTGAACTTTTTATTGAAGACCAGAGGCCCGGCATGCACCGGTGGGGTCCCTCGGCCTAGCCTGGCTCTCCGACATCCCCCAAGGGGTCCTGGATTGCAAGAGGGCAGTTCTCGAGCGATGCACCCTGGAATCAGGCTCCCTCCTCTCTGGTTCTGGGTGCGTCACCCGAGAACCGCAGCTGCGAAGTCACCGCAGCTCAGCAGCTCCTGCAGTGAGCGTCTGCCCTGGGCAGTCAGTGTGTGTCATAGCTACCGGTCTGAGCATCTGCCCCCTGGTGGTCATTGCATGTCATAGCTAGCGGTCAGACAGTTGAATGGACGCTTAGGCTTTTATATATACTACTTAGAGAAGTGATTTTCAACCTTTTATATCTCATGACACACACAAACTAATTATTAAAATTCTGCAGCACACCAAAAAATGTATTTTTTGCTGATTTGACAAAAAAAGGTATAGTTTTGATTCATTCACACCTGGCTGCTATTTTTGTGTTGGCTATTGTCACTTTTACAATTTGACAATCTAAGGGAAAAGAGGTCAGGCTCTGGCAGGGTAACTCAGTTGG